TGCTCTGAGCCCGCCCCTTACTGGCATCTTTACGAATCTACACGTCTCAGGTCCCTTCCAGCCGAAACCCTGGGTCCCCAGATAGAGTCACTTGAGGTGTGTCAGCGTGAAGGTGCGCTCATCTGCACACCTGACTTACAACTTGGGCACCTTCAGCTCCACCCTAGCTTCAGCTCCACCCTAGCTCAGGCTGGTAGGACACATGGGGCAGGCGGGGGGCACCAGACAGTCTGATATTTTTTGTTTGTTCATTTTAGTTTTATGCCATAGGGTGCATGCACTCACCAGAGACAGAGGAAAAGTGAGAAATCACCCCCGGGGTGGTGGCCATGCTGCAATCCCTTCTCCTCCATTCTCATCTAGGGATTTGGGGCACGCACACGTGCCTGGAGTGATTTTTCAAGTCACCTGGTCCGAGACTCAAACCGTGTGGTCATCCATGTGGGAGTCCAGTATCTGAACCACTATGTCACCTGCTGGCCCCACGACAGCGTGATAATACACACGCCAGGCTCAGCCCACCTCTGGCTTCTGGCCTCTGTGCTGGAGTGCCAGCCAAGGTCCTCACACCGGCAGGGCCCGTGCACGTTGCCCGTTGCCCGTCGCCCATCGCCGGTCCTCCTAGCTTCCTCCACAGCTCCAAGCTCTGCCCGTGCTATTTGCTGCTTCCAGTACTTGGTTCTCTTTCCTCAGGAAGATGGTCAGTTTTCAAGGGTACACTTCTTTTCTCCTGCCCCCCGGGGAACAGTTTTAGCATCTGAGGGCTAGGTCGGGACTGTTCCCTGCTAGCTGTGTGCCTTTAGGAAAGTGTCTCCACTTCTTCGAGTGCGTCTTCTCACCTGTCGAGCAGGGCTGCTAACAAGTCCCTAAGCCTCCCTAGTACATCTTTCACGGCACTTGCATAGGGACAGGCATCAATAGTTGGGGACTGTTCTAGAAGACTGGCGCTCCTAGTGCCATTCTGCTCTTACTCGGGGGACTGAGCTCAGGACCCCACTGCCTCTCAGTGAGCTAGGGCAAACACTGACAATGTGTTTGGCCCTTCCAGGCCTGGTCTCTGACTGTCTGAGATGGGAGCTGGGTGGTGCCTCGGGGGCCTCAGGCACCCCAAGGTCTAGGCCTGGATCTGCCCAGGTACTGCCAGGCCTGGGATTAATCGCCACCTCGTGGGCCCGTCCCCTGCCTGTGCACCCAGGGCTGGGCTGGCTGAGCTCCCAGGGCCCCTCCAGCTTGGACATTCCAAACCCCTGTGAAAAAGGATGAGCAACAGCCAGTTCTGGGCGGGGCCCACAATCCCTCTGCCCTCCGGGGACCCTGGGTGGCGAGGCTGGGAAGTGTCAGCCTGGAGAGCAGCCACGAGGGGACAGGCGGGCAGGCTGCAGGGATGGAAGGCCACAGCTGGAGGGACTAGAACATGTGGGCAGGAAGCACAATGAGGTTCCCTCTGGCACCGAGCCCTCCCCGGCATGTGGGCTGCACGCAGGCCCTAGCCGCAGGCACATGCAGGGCAGAGGTGGGGAGGCACCCCCTCCTGGGCTGCTGGGCAGGGAGTATGCTTTAGCTCCCAGGCTCCAGGCTCCAGGCTCCAGCCAAAAGGGCAGAGCTGATGAAACAGCCACTGTCCCCTCTGGCTCCAGAGACAGATGTGGCAGAGGAAGGGGAGGGTCACTGGCTGAGCCCCAGTAGTTCCAGGGGCTGGGGGGTCCTTTACATGACTGGTTTCTGTGACTCAGTTATCTGCTCCGGAAAGGACCATCGCTATCCGTCCTGCCATGTCACAGGTGTGGCCACTGAGATTTAGGGGCGCTGGGACTTGGCCAGTGGGTTCCAGTGGGGGCTGCAGCGCCTGTGCTCTGAGCCCACCCCGTACTGGCATCTTTACGAATCTACACGTCTCAGGTCCCTTCCAGCCGAAACCCTGGGTCCCCAGATAGAGTCACTTGAGGTGGGGGGGGGCCTCGGGGCTCTTGGTGAGGGCAGGGCCTGGGATGTGAGGGGCCAAGAGACCTCCAGCCCAGTGACTTTCACAGACTGCAGACTTCCCCAGGAGGCCGAGCCGACAGCCTCACCCCTCACCCCACAGTGCAGGCCCTCTTTGTGAGTAGACAAGAAACCCTCCCGAGCCCCCTCCCAGTCCCTGCCAGGACAGCCTAGAGGGCCCTGCAGTGGACAAGCAACCTCCTTCCGTCCCCTCAGCCCTCCTACCTCTCCAGGCTCATCCAAGATGGACATCCATCCCTTCTTGAAGTTGAGCAGGTCGGGCTAGGGGAGAGGAGCAGGCAGGTGAGTCAGGCCCGGCAAGAGCCAGCCGGGGCGAGGGGCGGGGGAACCGTGCCACACTGCCCCAAGTCCTGCAAGACTGAGGTCCTGGGAAGCCAGTAGACAGGGCTAAGGGTTCAGGTACCCCCGCCCAGATCCAAGCAGACCACAGAGGCAGCCTTGGCTCCTTCCCCAACAAATGTGTTCTCTGTGGGCCAAGAGGTCGGAGGTGCTGGTGCCTCCACCGCAGAGGTCTGCCACCTCCACTGGCCTTCCTTACCCCGCGTAGAGGGCCAGGAGCACACTGTGCATAACGAGACCCTGAGAGAGCCAGAGGACAGCCCGGACCAGAGAGCCAAGCAGACTGTCCATCTCTGCCAGGGCCCAGGTGACCTGCCAGGAAAAAGCCTGCCTACCTTCTGCCCACCGGACCTCCCGTGGTCCAGTCAGTCCTGCCCCCACCACCAACCTGGAGACCCTAACAGGCAGAGCCAGGCCCTGGCTGGGGTAAGAAGCCCTCTGGTCCCCCCTAGATCTCTGAGAAGGCCAGGGCAATGGCATCTCAGCCCAGGCAAGCCCTACCTGCCGGGCGCTGCCTATGGGAGCACAGCCCCGGGACCTGGGGGCTCTGAGCTGCAGCATGTCCCAGGGATGCCTGGGAGCTAGGCGCTCCTGCCCAGGCTAGACGAGGAGGCCACTCATCCTGGCGTTTTCCTGACCATGCCCTCCTGGTGGGCACCAGCCAACAGACCCTCCCTGCCCACTCGGAGGACCCATCTCATCTGAGTCCTGTCCCTTTGCAGTCTCAGCGCCTGCCCTGTCAGGAGAGCGGCCGGAGCAGGGGAGGAGGCAAGGAGGCGGCCACCTGTTGCCATGGCTCTGAGCCCACCTATCAGCACCTACATCGGGCTCACCAGGCCAAGGTGTCTGGTTGCAAGGAGGGAGCGGGTGGCAAGGCTCACTGGGGTGGGCAGTGACAGCGGCAGCAGGAAACCAGAGCCACCTTACCTGGCCACCTCCCCTGACCTGCCCTTCTCACAGGGAGCCCTGTTTTCTTCCTCCCCAAGTGGAGAAAGCGGAGAATTGGAAGACCAAGAGGGACTTGAGGCAGCAGCACCCAGAAACATCGCAGGCATCTGGTGGGGAGGGAGAACCCTAGCAGGCTGGTGGCCGCGTCCCATCCCTGTCCCACCTGCCCACTGCATCTCTGCTCCTCCCAGAATACCTGTCAGAGGGAGGGGATCATACCATACGAGCAGCAGAGCTGGACAACCCTGGGGCTGTCGGTCCTGCCCATCCATCTCTCATCTGTGTGGAGGCTGCCCAGGCGGCTCCAGGCTGAGACTGAAGACCGGTGGCCACACCTGGCTCCACTTCCCCTCGGACTGGGGCCTCCAGTGACCCTAGGCCTGGCATGGAGCCTGGCCACAGCAGGCCTCAGGGAGAGCTTGCTGAATAAATACCTACCCGCTTCTCCCTCCCTGGTCTAAATTCCTGTGAGGAATTTAGTCCCCCACGCCCACCTGTCCCCAAAGAGTCTGGCTTCCTCGGCTCCAGGGGCTGGCATCACCAGGCAGACGTAGGTGGAGCCCCTAGGAAGGCTGTGTAGATGCCACAGCATCAGTCTGGGTCAGGTAGATCAGCCAGAGGCCTGGTAAGGTGACAAGCCTCCCAGGAGGAATGGCAGGGGCCTGAGGGCTAAGGTGCCCCCATGACCTTTCGACGTCACACACACACCCCACCCCACCCCCACCCCCACCCCCCGAGCTCTGGCTGCCTGATGTGGCAGTGACGAGGGTCCTGTCCTTCCAGAACTTCCCAGAGGCCCGAAGTGCCACACCCAGTGGGGCCCAGTGACCTTCCAGAGGCCGGCACAGACACAACGTGGCATGGCCACCTTCGGGGGAGGAGGCACTAATGAACTTTCTTTTCTTTTTTTTTTCTTTTCTTTTTTTTGCTGTAGGGTACATGTGCTTGTGGGAAAGAGAGCAAGAGAGGGGAAAAGTGAGGATCACCCCCAGGGGAATAGCCACACCACAATTCTTTCTCCTTCACTTCCTCTCAAGGTTTTGGACATGTGTGCACACACAGTGTGATTTTCAAGATGCCGGGTCAGGGACTGAACTGTGAAGTCAGCCATGTGGAATCCGGCTGCCTTAACCATCACATCATCAGCTAGCCCCACCAATGGGGTTTTTAAGCCCTCTGGCAGGGACACCCGCTTCCAGGGTTAAAAGGTCTGATCATCTAAACCTCTCCCATCACACCTTCACCATCAGCTCTAGCTCTCCCCACCTGCAGGAGGCTCGGTTTCTCCTTTGCCCTTCTAGGAGCACTGCCAGGCTCTCTCAGTCACCCACCATGGCCACAGGTCAGCCCTGTCTCCCTCCTGGACCATGGCCACAGTCCCCTCCAAGCACACTCCGACAGGGGGACCCACTCAAGTAGGTCTAGTGTCACCTGCCTGTCCAGGGATGCTTCAAAACAAAGTCTAGCTGCCTCAAGGTGACCGAAAGCCTTGGCCTGCCCATCCAGCTTGAGGGCCCCATGTTCATACCACACAGTTCTCACCAAGCCCCCACACCAGGACTCCGGGCCCTTCACACATGCCTGTGTCCTCTGCCTGAGCCTGCAGCTTCCTCCTCTTTGGGGGCCAGGCAGGCCCCTGCTCATGACTCAAGAACTGGCCTCATGGCCACCTCCCACATAGCATGCCCCCTGGGCCACCCCACACACACACAGCCTGGAGGAGCGGCCTCTGCCATATCCATGAGTGTCCTGAGGCCACTCCTTGTCCCTTGCAGGCTGGACCAGATACAGCTCGGTCAGGCACAAGCTGCTCGCCCTGGACCTAGCACAGGCCTTCCCCAGGGGCTCAGGGAGTGTCTATAGGAAGAGAATTTTAGGCACTAAGCGCTGTTCTAGGCCGGGAACCAGCATGAAGGAGAGCAGTGGCCCTGCCCTGAGGATCTCAGGAGGGAGGCAGACAGTAAACAAATGAACGAGTGTATAATTTGCTGCCCGGCAGAGGCTGGGGATGGGGCTGCAGGGCTCCCCAGGTCCAGGGGCTCCGCTGCACTGGGGCTGACCTCAGGAGGCAGAGGGTGCAACTCCGGGCCTGGCCCCAGGGTCCCCAGCTCCCTGAAGCCGCTAAGCACGTGCCCACTCACAGCAAGCACCTGTGCCACTTGCTTACACAGGTTCCTGAGCCTGGTGGATGGGGTCAGAGGGGTGAGGAAGGTGTGGGGAGAAAGGAGACAGACTCAGATCTGAACGGTGACCGGGATGAACCCAGTGGACACTGCTATTGTGATGAGGAGCCTCCTCTCTGCTCCAAAGCCTTCCATGGCTCCCAACTGGCCCAAAGCCCAGACTGTATTCCCTCCCCCTATGTCCCTCTGTGGTCCCAGGCTCCTTCTCAAAGTTCTTGCCACTCTCTAGACAATGACCACCACTTTGTCCAAGCTGCTCCTTCCCAGAATGCTTTGACCTCCCCCCAGTCCACAAAGTCCTACAATGACAGTACACCTCCTTGGGAAGCCCTCCTCCCACACCGCACATAACGTGTCCTGCATTCTTAGCCTGCTCAGCATGCCTGCCACAGGAGAGGGACTGGGTACGTGGCCTCTCTCTCCTAGTAAAGAAAACTGGGACAGACTGGAGACAAATTCTGGCTCAGCCTGAGGCCAGTTGCATCACCTGGGGCCTGTTACTTCACCTCTCTGCACCTCAGTGTCCCCATCTGCTTGATGGGGACATTATCGCTCACCTTAAGGATCAAATCTGCTGACGAAGGGACCAGCAGATGGCATAATGGTTATGTAGCTGAACTCCCACACAGTAGACTGCAGTTTGAGTCCTGGGCCCTGAGGCTTAAAACTCACACCGGTGCATGTACATGTGTGCCCAAAATCCCAAGAGTGGAGGAAAGGGATTGTGGCATAGCCATACTCTGGGGGTGATTCTCATTTTCTGTCTCTCTGGTGAGCGCACATGTTCTATAACAAAACTCTCTAAAAAAAAAAATCTGCTAACCTGAAAGCAAGCACTTGTTGACAGGAACCCAGTGGGTAATATAGCCATCCACCCCCTCTGGCCCCAGGACACTGACTCAGCTCCCCTTCACCCCCTCTGCTCCATGGGGGAAGGGGAGGCTGCTGCGGATGACAGGAAGGGCCAGCAGGGAGGTGGCAGGATGTGCGGAGGCCGAGGAAGTCCAGGCAGTGCAGCCAGGTCATCTCTCTCACAGGGGCAGGGGCCCCACAAGCCACACCCCCAGAAGCCCAGCCCTCTCCTCACCAGGGACACACACACCCCCCAACCTTCCCCAATCCTAGAAGGGTCACCAGGCTGTCAGAGCTTCCCTAGGCACTGCTAGCCGGCAATCAAAAGCAGTCCCAGACGGATCTTGAAAGGAGCGCCGCCTTCCCTTCCTTACACTCCGGATTGCCCTGCACAACTCACCTACTCACCTCTGCAAACCTCGGTTTACCTATGACATGGGAAAAACCGCCAACTCGCTGTGAAGCTCGGTATGATAATTATGGCGCAGAAATCGATGGAGCTTGGGTAGAGCTCACCCCAAGAGAAAGGCAAACCCTGCCATTGTGCCGGCCACCCCCACTCCCGGGCTCGCCCCACCCAAGGCCCCAGCGTCGCTGAGAAGTGGCAGATCTGGGAGAACACGTTATCCCGTCGCTTCAGGCGTCCGGGATGGGCTCCCAGACCTTGGGGAGGGGTGGACCGGCCTCTTGTCACCCACCCGACCTCGGGCCAGTGGCCCCTCGGCG